ATCCAATGCTTCTTGGGAATGCTTTTATCACTGTTTATTAGAACTGATTACATATATTTTTGTTCTTTATTGATTTGAGAGAGAGAGAAACATCAATGAGAGAGAACATCAATTGGCTGCTTCCTGCATACCCTCCACTGGGGATTGGGCCCACAACCTGGGCATGTGCCCTGACGGGAATTGAACTGGCATCCTCGTGGTGCATGAGTCAGCACTCCACCAGTGAGCCACACCAGCCAGGCTGATTACATTTTTTATATTAGAAATGTATCGGTGATATTGGTGACCTGATACCAGTGTTGCTCCCTAGTTAAAAAATCATACCTGAACACACTTCTATATATTGCATGGATTGCATATCAATGATAAAGATAAATCATTTTAGGAAATAGTTGACTCAGTTATATCCTGTAACATTTTTGTGCAGCATCTGTTCGAGTCACTTGCATCCTGCTGGTGCTTGATAAATGGGAACTGGTTCCCTGGCCCAACTCGTTTCTGATTTAGCACTTATGGAATCATGTGGCCAGGGTTCGACTTGTACTGCCCTCTTTATCTTCTAATAACTATGGTAATATGATCAAATAATCATTTTCTAAATTGTAGTAGTTTTAAAGAGAAATTCACTAATATGATTCCGATCATCATCTATATTTATGTATGTTCTCTCTATATATATTTATATATGTGTTTTCCCAAAATTGATTTTAGAATCAATGTGAATAATGAGAAAAACAGGAAAATCCATTTGTCTTAAATGATAGCCTCCTTTTTTCCAAATATTTGCTAGAAGAAATTATTTTGGTGATACAATGCCATAAAGATTGAAGATTTCCCCCGAAATTGTATATGTGTATATGAAAACCTAAAATACAGATGTTAAATTCATGTGCTTTGTTTATGTTGCCTGTACTTGATAACGTAAAAAATACAGACTTTCATTTCAGGAAGTTTTACTGTAAGAGGAAGAAGTAGAATGGCAGTGGAAGCCTGGTGAAGGTGTGACTCGCTAGTTTCCAGTGAGATGTTTACCAGGCGTTTAGTCTAGGTGCTGCGTCTCTAGTTATTATGGAACCATAACATGCAGTAGCCCTGTGGCTCTGCATCTGGCCGATATCTCGACCTATCATGATTGACAGCCTTATCTAATTTTTATCTTACACAGCTAATTTGATTTCATCATGACAGCCACAAATACAATATGGAACCGATAATGATTCATTTACCTTTTTTAGTTGATAATGTTAACCATTTAGCTGGAGACTCGGCTTAATCCACCTCTCAAATGGTCCACTTAGACCTGCAGAAATCAACCCTTAGAGAGTGAATTCCATCATACAATGGGCTTTGTCTATCATTACAGATAATCTCATAGTTTTTACCTGAAACATAAAATATAAGATATTTTTTTTACAAGAAAAGATGAGGCTAAAGAAAAATTATAGCAGAAACTATAATTTAGGTGCTATCTGGCAAGCTTGAGACTTTGTTATCTTGTTAGGGCATCTCTCTTGGGCAGTACATCATTTTCAATTACATTCAAACTGAGCAGTTGTCAATTATAAAACATCAACGAGCTGTAGCCACTGGGAAGTTGGTACGCATTTTTATACTCTTAAATAGTTATGATGAGTAATTTCTTGAACAGTGTGAACCATAGGATTTGTTGACAAAAATCATTCATTGGCCAAATTACAAGGGAGTGCAAAATCTTCAGTATTTAGGCAATTATGCACAATTCAGTTAAAGGAGATTTGATTTAGATAAATGCCAGTTGCTACAGTGAGAAAAGCAAGAACAAAAAAGAGTACGAAAAAAAAAAGAAAAAGAGGAGAATGAAGAAAGACAATCTAAGAGGTTAAATGAGATACAGTAGAATTATATAAAGGATAATGATGCAAATGAAGGATTACCCTGTGCAGCAATGTGTGGGTTTCTCTGTTTGTTAAAGTTGCCACGCCACTAAAGGTGACAATTCTCTTACAAATCCTTAATGGAAAAGTGTGTATGTGAGCTAACTGGTTTGTAATAAAGTCAATAAAATGAAAATACCCTTCTGGATTACTCTGAGAGATAGAGGATTTTTAAAAAGGAGAACAAATGCCCTGGCTGGATAGCTCAGCTATCCAAGGTTGCAGGGTCGATCCCCTATCAAAGCACATACAGCAAGCAACCAATGAATGCAAAAAATAAGTGGAACAACAAATTGATATTTCTCTCTCTTCCACTCTCTCTCTAAAAATCAATACTTTTTTAAATAGTGTGATATTTTAAAAATAAGAACAAAATGATTACTAATTAATACTATAAAAGAGCAACTCGTAAAATATGATCTAGAAAATGCTTTATAATTTTGTAGCATGGTAAATCAGACATAATAAATAACCATTTAATGAAACCAAACAAAGAAAGATTTATTTTACAAAATGCCGTATGTCAGTTTTGGCATTAATGTGTCAAGAAAGAAAACTTATTCTGGGGAAGAATATGTTGCACTAGAAAAACAAGTCTAGACTGCAATAAGTTCAATTAGTAGAAAAATGTTTTACATAAGTTTATGTAGAATGCATATTTTTTAATATCCTAAGTAGATGAAAATTTAGGGATGGTGCTTTTTTAGATGTCCACTATTAGTAAGGTGTGGAAAGCATGTCACCATGAACAAAAGCCATGATAAAACACTTTGTTCAGTCTTTTTTTTTTTCCTTAGTCACTTAAACCAAGTCACAGGAAACGAGACACTTTTTAATTTTTCTTACCTTATTACCCTTAAAATATTACCTAGCATTTTACCAGTTTTCTTTTTTTTTTTTTTTTAATCCTCACCCGAGGACATTTTTCCATTTTTTGTTCAGATAGAGTGGGAGAGAGAGAGAGAGAGAGAGAGAGAAACATCGACGTGAAAGGGACACATCGAGTGGCTGCCACCCACACGACCCAACCAGGGCCGGGGACAAACTGCAACTGAGGTACATGCCCTTAGCAGGAACTGAACCCGGGTCTCTCTGGACCACAGGCCGACGCTCTAACCGCTGAGCCAAACTGGCCAGGGCTTACCAGTTTTCTAAAGCTAAAATCCAGATCTTCAAAGTAGTTGAATAAGTTTAGATTTTAGTTAAAAAAAAATTTTTTTTGAGAGATGAATTCACACTTCCCAATACTGAGTAAACTTAGATGTCTCATTGGATCTCTGTGCTAAATCTGACATCTTTGCTGCAGACAGCTCAGCTTCCTTACCTTATTTCTAGTCTCCAGCCCTCGAGTCTAACAGCCTCTCAAGCTCTGTCATTTGTCTTTGACCATTTAGTTTTGCCCTTACTTTAGTCTCACTGAGCATTACACCTATCCTGCCGTTAGGTGAACCCCTTGCCTGAAAACAGCTGAGTCATTATTATTTATTACATCAACTCATTATGTAGGGCTCTCAGTCTTCACACTACATGAGTGATCATAGTATATTCATAAAAACCAGATCTGGGAGAGGAGAAGGGATCCATTCATTCACTGATTTATAAAATATTTCCTAGTACCTATTTTGTCCAAGGTACTAAGTTAACAATTTAGAGACAGAAACATAGATTTTTAAATGGTCACTTTTCTCAAGGGGCTTATGCAAATAGATATAAGACATTTGAAATGAAATTAGGGCACGCAAAACTTACTAGAGCACTAAGTAGGACTAAGCCAATTCCAATTAGATATCATTCAGGAGGTGATATTTACATTGACCTTTGAAGAAAAATAAAATATTGATAGGTGGTAAGAGGAGTACCTAGGGGATAAAAAAATTATTAAAGGATAAAGGAATAACATTTAAAAAGGCACACAGGTGGCAAATAGCTTTCCATGTACATGGAACAGCAAGTAATCCAATATGCTTGGAATCCACAGTGACTTGAGAGATTACATGAAAGGTGTCTGAAAAATATAACATGTACAAGATCAGGGAGGCCCCTGAATTATAATATAAAGATTTTGGAACTTATTATATAAAGAATAGGGGTCATTGGTGTTTATTTATCAGAGAAATGACATGATCTCCTCTTGTCCCACTTTTTACAATTCACATCAACTATTTTCTTTGTTTATAGCACCCTTTCACTCCAGTTCTTCCAACTGAGCCCTCTCCCACGTTTTATTTGGGAAAGTTAAGAAGTTGGCTTGACTAACCTCTTACGGAAGGTGTTCCACCTCTTCTGCTAAGCTTTGCAGGACTAGTTTTTCTCAGAATAAGTTTACACTTTTTCCATCTTCCTTTCTTGTGCTCAGACTATTTTTTAAATTATTTTATACAATAATCATCTTTTTTTAGTCTACCATCACCATTGGACTTGATTTCAGGGAGAATTTATCATTGCTCTCTGTGTCCTCAATATCTGTCTAGACTATTTCTTTCTAGGTGCTTAAACAATTTTAGTTGACTGATCAGTCATCCTCAGTGAAGAAGGCACAATACATAGGAAACAATAAAATTAAGGATAACAGCTAGATGGTCACTGTAATGGAAGATTGTGAGAGATTAAAATATAAGGCAAAGAGGGAAATGAAAAGAGAAAGCTGATTAGAGGGACAGAAATAAAAGGACAGTTTGAGGATGATCCCAAATAATTTGGAGAAAAGTTGTGTTATACATGGTTTGGTTTTGCTAAAGGAAGACATGAGTCCTATTGATGGGTTATATTTGATACTTCTTTGGAGCATCCAGTTTTTTAGATATTTAGAAGTCATAATTATTACTCCTTAAAAAAGAATGTGGGCTAGTATTTCTTTTGTCTAAAAACTTAACAATTATCCTTCAGCAAGTTTGAGTTATAATGAGTTTATAACAGTGAGAAAAATATCGAGATAAATGTGCATCTCACTCTGGTCCCTAGAAAGAAGCAATATCTAATGTTTCCCACTAATCTTAAGATCTGAGTGTTCAAAAGTTCAAGTTCTATTTAAATCTTACTCAGCTGATTCAAAATTAATTGTGTTATCTCTCTCTTGCTTTTCTACAGTATGCTGTCTGGCTAGTCCTCTGGGTTACTTGGAATGTGTTTGTTATCTGCTTCTATTTGGAGGCTGGGGACCTCTCAAAGGTAATTTGCCGTTTTATTTACCTGAGTCATCAGTAGTGTGTTCATAAGCCTCTTCCTAAGTCAGGCAGAGTCTCACCCTGCTCTTGGCACTTAGAAGCACCACGAATGAAGGTAAATTGAAAGCTGTTCACATCTATATCTCTGCATTTCTACCATAAAAGATATGCTTTAGTGTATCACAAAAACGTATTTCTGTTTTTAAGCAAAACTAATGTGAAATATTGATTACTGTAGTGGCCATGACTTTTAAAACATTGACTGATGAGAGATTTCTGAAGCAGAATAGGAATGTTTTTAGAGATCAAATTTTGAAGATTAAGTGACTTAGTGTGCTTATTGCTCTGCTAGAGATTTTCCTGATTGGGCCCAAGTAGCAATGCCATAATTTGAACAATTAATGGATTTTAGTTAAGTAACATTGTTACCAGGGGCATAGAATTTATTATTTAGATAAATAAAATAAACATTTTATCCTAAAACCATCTATGAAAGACTTATAACAATTGCTTTTTCATTAGGTTTCTTTATGTTGTACTGTCCTCATGTGAGTGTGTGTATGCTTGTTTTTGAGTGTGTATGTCGCCATTATATTTCTACCATAAATGCCTTTACTATTGAAATAATGTAGTCTTTAGATTTCTAAAACCAGTGTCCCTCTTTCAGAATGCAGTTAACACCAGGTAAGTCAAATGAGAGAATCCATTCAAAGCAGTAGTGTATCTTGCTTGAGACTCTTGAGAGGGATGCAAACGTGTACTTCATCATATTAACTTTAAAAGACAGATGGTAACGTGTTCTTTTTACCTATCCCTTATTAGAACAGAAAGACTCTGCGAAGAAACTGACATTTGAAAAACCCAGAAATGATAACCTACTTTGAAAGGCAAAAAAAACAAAACAAAACAGCTATAAAGTCACCAGGAATTGCCTTTGCAGGGCTGTATATTTTATGGGATGAGTGATGGGGGTAGTAGTGGTACACATTTATAATCTGGCATACAGGAATTTACAAAGCACTCTGAGCACTGGCAAGGATGCTTATCTGACCTGCTAGAGGCATTTCTATGATTCGCGTAGCGCATTGTCCTCCACACTCTGGGCAGCAGGCGGTCCTTTCCGCAGATGCTGTGACCAATGAAAATGAATTGTTCAGGTGGCTCTAGGAAGAACATAGTCAGGACTGCTGCTGTGTCTGTGCCAGAAAGACAAAACACACTTCTCAAGGACTTGAATTCCTTACCCAATTTACACATTTCCGCTGCTCTATAATCCACTTTATTCAAAGAAATTCTACACTGGAATGACTTTTAATGATATTTTTAATTTTAAATAATCACCTTAAAAATTGGAAGGCATTTATTCAGGCAGGTTGGCTGAATAAAATGATCCAGCAGATCAGTTTGCTTAATATAAAAGGAGAAAGAGAGAGAAAGATTTGAGCCAAGCAGGCTGCACAAATGTCCTGTAATTCTGTTTACTGCTCCACGTGATAACTGCAGGCACAATATAAAACTTGTGATCTCATGACCTTGCACATGGGCATTGAAACCACAGCAAGGCTACATCCTAAGACATTACAGTTCAAGACAATTACAGCCCAAATGACTAAGAATTCTTCTAATGCACAAAGGCAGGTAAGGACTATCCCTTGGCAATGCAGCAGTTAATAATTCCTTTTCTTTTCATCTTATAAACCAGTGCTGGTCTCTGCAGAGCACATGAAAATGTAATATTTTTAACAAATAATCTGAAAGAAAACCATAAAGGGCAAGTTATAATAGTTATCTGTACCAAGTTCTTCCTCCCTTTCCTACTCAGAGGGTTTGAGAAAAGGGTATTTATACCATTTAATTCTTCAGCTTCTGTAACTGCCTCACATTCTTCAAGTAATGAGTGATAGAAGGAAGGAATGGTGATTGAAAAATGTACAAATCTATGAAAACTCAAAATGGGACTTCTGAAACTGCTGATAATACTTAGATTACAGAATATAAGCACTTTTTTTCTCAACCCACCAAAAAATAAAATAGTTTGACCATACAAATGGGTCAGTTTGTTTGAGGCCGAGGGAGAAATATGGGCAATTGAATCAGGGAGGAAAGGCTAGGGTTTTATATGTGTGAAAGAATTGTATCTTGTTATTGTTGTTGGTGTTTTTTGTTTTATCCTTACCAGAGGATATTTTACATTTTTGTTCGGATATAGTAGGAAGGAGAGAGAGGAAGAGAGAGAGAGAGAGAAACATCGATATGAAAGAGACACATTGAGTGGCTGCCTGCCGCACGACCCCAACCAGGGATGGGGACAAACTGCAACCGCAGTACGTGTCCTTAGCAGGAACTGAACCCGGGTCTCTCTGGACAGCAGGCTGATGCTCCAACTGCTGAGCCAAACCAGCCAGCGCAAGTATGTTTATTTTCATTGATATTGGCGAGAATATTAAGGCAATCTTTAGTTACCTGTTAGAGTTTAGAATATTATGTGGTCATTTGCACAATGTCATTTCTGTTTGTTTGTTTTTTGTTTTTTTTCTAAACCATTTACCTTGTACTAATGAGCAAAACAGAGATTAGAGTCATTAACCAACCCAGTGTGTACATTCAGTAATGAAATGGCTTAATTACAAAAATATGATACACAAGACTGACCTGTTTGATCTTCAGTTTTCTTTTTACCCTTAGTTGTATAGTTAATATGTTTTCTTTATTGAAAAATATGTGTAAATCAAACATTATTATTGTTATTATTTTAAATATCTTTATTGTTGAAAGTATTACAGATGTCCCCCTTTCTCCTCCCATTGACCCCTTCTTCCTGACTTCTGCCCCCACCCTGCCTTCACTACATTATTATCTGTATCCATTGGTTATGCATATATGTTTATAAGTGCTTTGGTTTATCTCTTCCTGGCCCCCGCCCAACCCCATCCCCCAGGTTCAAGAGTCTGTTCCTTGATTCCATGTCTCTGGAGGTATTTTGTTTGTCAGTTTATTTCATTCATTAGATTTCTGTTCATTTTATTTTGTTCAAACATTATTATTAAAATATCAGGCTGGTTTGGCTCAGCAGTAGAGCATTGGCCCACGGACCAGAATCGCAGGTTCAATTCCAGTCAAGGACACGTACCTTGGTTGCAATTTGTCCCCGGTTCTGTTCAGGGGTCATGTGGGAGGCATCTAATCAATGTGTCTCTCTGACATCAATGTTACTCTCTCTTTCTCTCTCTTCCTCCTACCCTCCAACTCTATCTGAAGCTAAATAGAAAAATATCCTCAGGTAAGTATTAAAAAAAAAAGGTATATTTATCTGGCCGGTGTGGCTCAGTAGTTGAGCATCGACCCATGCACCAAGAGGTTGCCAGTTCGATTCCCAGTCAGGGCACATGCCCAGGTTGTGGGCCAAATCCCCACTAGGGGGCATGCAGGAGCCAGCCAGTAGATGTTCTCTCTCATCAATGTTTCTATCTCTCACCCTCTTCCTCTCTCTCGAAAATCAATAAAAAAATTTTTTTAATAAAATAAAATATCAGTTAATATATTTTAATTATTATACCCATAGCATTTAAGGAAAAATAAAACTAATCCACCAGAGAAACTACTTTAAAATTTTTTATCTAAGTTAAATTAAAATAATGGGAATATAGTATAAAACAGTGTTATCAACAAATAAACATATATATTGTATAATAATTATTTCCATGTTGTTTACATTGATGGTTGTGATATTAATGTTGTAACTATCCTACTGCATCATACAGTGTGTTACAACTTCAGTTGATATTTTAACAGATCTCCTGTTATGGAAACAGAGTTGACCTGAGTTTGTAACCTAACGTGTCTGCTAACTATGTAGGTAATTGCCTTTGAGCATTCAGTGTCAATTGAATTAATAGCTTTGGATTAATAGTTCTGACAATTCCTAGTGTAAATAGTCTTATTGTTTTGTTGTGTTGTTTGGGGCACTTCTGATTCTCTTACTCTCATGTCAAATAGAAAGAAATGAGAACTAATTCCAGCTATCAACTGAACTGAGTTATTTTGAAGAGAGAGCTACTATTTTTCTGTAGTAAATTTTAACTTCCAAGTGCGTAGTAGTTAGAAGAAAAACACATTTAATGTGGTAATTCACTTATTAGGTTCATCACCTGGGAAACAAAATTTATTAAATAATTTTCAAATAGTAATGCACAGGAAAAAATGCAGTGGTCTTCTGGGATCTGTAAAAACCTGTATTTTATTGAATGTGATAGAATTGAAAATTACTCTTAGGCTGAAACTATATTCTAACACTTTCTTCATATGACTATTTTGAGATCTTGGTTTCTACATTTGTAATTTATGGGGCACCATTAGAGAATGATGCACCTATCTTTAGAAATGAAACAATAAATTTACAGAGCAAGAAGGAGTAACCAAGGGAGTATTTTAGATTAAAACCACTGATTTGTTTTTAGTCCCTTGAGATTAAGGATGCAGGCATATATCCCTCAGGCTTTATTATATTATCAGAAATTTATCTAGTTAAACATAACCAATGGCAATTAATTATACCTAGTGATATGTAAGTTTCATAATGAGTACATTTAATGACAACTTCTAGAAAGCTGCCATATTTGAATAATTTGGAAAGTTGTTTATACAATCTAGATAAAAATTTTATTTAAAAAAAATAATAAAGTGATGTAGGAATATTACCTATTAAAATGTTGGAGAATAAAATTGCTCTCTTGCAAATGTAAGAGACAGAAAGAAGATAAAACCTGTCATTCACTATAGGCAGAAGGGAACAAATCCTTAAAACCAGATATGAGTGCTGCGTGGAACAATGTACAATTGCAGCAGTCCCTGTTTTATTTCTTCTATTAAAAAAAAATTACTCATTAAGCAAAATAAGCCAGTCAGAGAAAAACAAGTGTCACATGATATCACTTACATGTAGAATCTAATGAATGAAATACTTTGACAAGCAAAATAGATTCAGAGACATGGAAGCAGGGAATA